GCGCCCCTGACTGCACCCACATGGTGGCTCATAACTGTTACTCCAGTTCTGGGGATCTGGTGTCCTCTTCTGGCATTGAAGCAGCAAACACACAGGGGATACAAAGACACACATGTGGGCAAAACACCCATACATATACTATTTGTTCATTTTGGTGTTTGTTTGATTGTTAGTTTGTTTTTGAGACAGGATCTCTCTGTGTAGCCCTGGTTGTCCTGGAACTCACTCAGTAGACCATGCAGGCCTGAAATTCAGAGCTCCACCTGCCTCTGCCTCCAGAATGCTGCCATTAAAGACATGCAACACCACCACCTGGCAACATATATACAGTTTTTAAAAAGCTTTATACGGGTAATGAAAAATGCAAAGTATCTGTCCACACTGTGAATATCAAAGCAATGTGCTGTTTTGTTGTTGTTCAAGTGGTGAAGACTTGGTAACATTTGCTACATTCCAGCTCCTATGTCCTTCTATGCATTATTATCACACCAAATCTTCAACAGCTCTATGAAGTAAGAGTAACTATCTACTTCTATGCTCTATCTCCCAACAGTGAACTGTCACACAGCATACACAATGATAACTGTTAGTTGATGGTTCTAAAAATATTCACAAACACCGGGTGGTCGTGGAGCACACCTTTAATCCCAGCACTCAGGAGGCAGAAGCAGGTAGCTCTCTATGAGTGCAAAGCCAGCCTGATCTATAGAGTGAGTTCCAAGCCAGCCAGGACTACACAGAGAAACCCTGTCTTGAAAAGCAAAAAAAACAAAACCAAACAAAATTCACAAACCAATAAGTCATCACTGCTATCTATTTCCAAAATAAACAAATCACTATGTGTGGAGCCAGACCAACCCAAGACTTTCTTGGAGGCCCTGATTCAAGGAAAAAAGGGAACTTTAATTCTGTGTCCTTGTCTAGTAATGGACTTGGCAAGACTGGTCTAGGGCTGGAGTCCATGCCTCAGAGGAGTCAACGTTGTAGTTTCTGGGGACACGACTCTTCCCTGTTGGCTGTGGTTATCAGTGTTTAGGCATCTGTGTCTAAGGTATCCCATGTTCTCTTTGCCAACATTGTCTAATTTAGCTCTCTGCTGGCCTTGGCCATTTTCCCTGTACAAATAGTATATAAGATGCCATAGTTTTTAATAAACTTGCTTGGCCTTATGTCATCAGCTCATGCACGACCTCCTGATTCCAGCTACTGCTTTTGTCTTCTTTACTTCTTATCTGCTCCATTTCTCATGCCCCGTCTTCCCTCTTGACACCTTGCTATGTAGGACCCTTATTTCTGTAGGTTTGTATCATCCCTATATGAAGTTCCACGAGCGGCCATCCCACTCTCTTCCCCCAACTTTAAATGTTTATGATCTTCTTCTGTGATTTTTCTTCTCCTAAGTTTAAAACCAGACAGGCCCAGGAATTACATAACTAAGGATCTTACTTACTTTTATTACTGATAAAGTCTACCAATGTGTGGGTTTGGTAGTAGGCCTAGGGAGCTAACAATCCATTCTAGAGTGAGCTACCTTGAGTCACTGACTCAGCTTGAAAACCTAAGCCTACACTTCTTTTTTTTTAATTTTATAATTTTATTTTATTTTATTTTACAATATAATTTAATTCTACATGTCAGCCAGGGATTCCCTTGTTCTCCCCCCTCCCGCCCACCTCCTCTTCCCCCAAGCCCACCCCCCATTCCCATCTCCTCCAGGGCAAAGACTCCCCTGAGGATTGAGATCAACCTGGTAGACTCAGTCCAGGCAGGTCCAGTCCCCTCCTCCCAGGCTGAGCCAAGCGTCCCTGCATAAGCCCCAGGTTTCAAACAGCCAACTCATGCACTGAGCACACTTCTTAAAGCACCTTTGCTACCTGGCAGGAAATGGAGCAGAACACCCACTCTCTCCAAGGAGCCAAGGCTGAGAGAGGACCGGAAGGGGTGAGCTAAGCATCCTGCCTCCCAACCTCACCAGTTTGATATTCAGTCCTACTCAGTCCAGAGATCAGTCATTCTGGAAGCATTCATTAGTGAAGACTAAATGGAGAAGCATAAAAAAGTGGCAAGGCCAAAAAAGGGCTATTGTCATGACAAGAAACATAGTGTCCTCTATGAACAGGAGGAAAGACATTTCTGATGGGCTCAGAATTAAGGTTTGTTTGCTTACTAATCTACTTGACTCTAAGATGCGTCAGCCATTGGCGCACATGGGGCATTTAGACTTCAGGAACCTCTTCCTCTGTTTTGTAATCACCTTTTTGGAAGGATCTTTTGACTGACCCCTTAGCTGCATCCATAGGCCGATTACAGGTTGTAGTCAGCTCTCAGTTGTGGGTTCACTGGAGTGGAAAGACCACCTACCGTGGGCAAAGTACCTCATCCCAAGTTCCAACTCTATGACTGGGGTAGATTGCTGTAGTAATACTATCATTTTATTTAAACTTGACCATATATACATACCACTGAGATATAACTTTTATCTTTTTTCCCCACAAATAAGGTGAATCTATTTCTCTACCTTTTGAATTTTGACCATGTCATGTAATGTGGTAAATATGACAAATGCAGAAATCTATATTAATAATATGCTTGTTAAGGATAGAGAGATGGCTCAGTGGTTAAGAAGATTTACTACTCTTGCAGAGGAACTGGGATCGGTTCCTAGCATACACATGGTGGCTCACAACCACCTTTCACTCCAGATCCAGGAGATCAGACCCTCTTCTGGCCTCTGTGGGCTCCTGAACACATGACATAAACTCATTAGGTGTGACTGCAAGCGCGCGCGCGCGCGCACGCGCACACACACACACACACACACACACACACACACACAGAAAGAGAGAGAGAGACAGACAGACAGACAGACAGACAGAGAGACAGAGAGAGACAGAGAGAGAATTTAAAAATGAACAAGTATGTTTGCACATTGGGCCTTACTCTCTCTTATAGAAAATGCTTTGGATGTTTTATTTTTACGATTTAATTTTAATTTTGTGTATGTGTGGGTAAGCCCAACATGAATCCTGGAAACTGAGTCATGTCTTCTAGAAGAACAGTAAGCATTTGTTGTTGTTGTTGTTTTCTAGATAGGGTTTCTCATGTAGCCATGGCTATCCTGGAACTCACTCTGTAGACCAGGCCGGCCTCAAATTCAGAGATCTGCTTACCTCTGTCTCTGGAGTGCTGGGATTAAAGGCATGTGCCACCATCCAGCCAGTAAGCATTCTTACCCTGTACTTCTCTCAAGCCCATTTTCTTAATATTTATGAAAATATTTGAATGAAGTTTGGGCATGGTGTAGTTGGGAGACAGAGGCAGGTAGATCTCTGTGAGTGCAAGGCAAGCCTGCAGCATGGTCTGTGTAGTGAGTCCCAGGACAGCAGTAGCTACATAGTAGGCCTTGTCTCAAAAAAAAGTGAATGAAGCCTCAGCTAACTGAAATGGGACTCTGACTAGGTTATTCAAATTTTTTTTTACATTTAGAACGTTATGTGTATAGAACTCATGGTAATGTGAATGTGTTAATAATTAAATATTCACTTCATGGATGAAATTCTGTCTTCAAACTTCAACTATGATGCATTAAATCTTTTTATCATCAATTTTTTTATATTACTTGATCTATGTCAAAAATAAATACTGTTCCACAAGCCCACACTGAAAGTCACACTCTCTGCTAAGTGCTTTAACTGTTTTTACTCACTCATGCAGTCCTTTCATCTGTTCTAGAAGGCAGGTGCGTCCATGTCCTAAGGTGACCTCTTAAGTGACCCTATCACTCATTTGAACTTCCTCTAGAATTGAATAAAAATTCTTAAATTATTGATAAGAATTGCACAAGTCAAACATTATACTAAAATAAACTTGAAAAGGATTTAATCAAGAATTAACTGCAGGGCTGAAGAAATGGCTCAGTGGTTAAGAACACTAGCTGCTTTTCCAGAGGACTTGGTTCAATTCCCAGAACTCAAATGATGTGGTTCACAACTGTCTATAAGACAACTTCCAGGGGGCCGAGTGCCACCTTCTGGCCTTCAAGGATGCCAGACACACATATGATGCTAATAAAATACATGCAGGGGTGAAAATGCTCATACATATAAAATAAAATAAATATATCTAATTTTTTTATTTTTTTGGTTTTTCGAGACAGGGTTTCTCTGTGTAGCTTTGCGCCTTTCCTGTAACTCACTCTGTAGCCCAGGCTGGCCTTGAACTCACAAAGATCCACCTGCCTCTGCCTCCCGAGCGCTGGGATTAAAGGCATATATCTATTTTTTTTAAAAGAATCAACTGCAAAATAAAGCATTAAAATGTGGATGAACTTTGTTTAAGAATGCCATATCATGATAATATGTATGGTAATGTAAAAGAATTTAGGGTCAAAAGATTGAGTGAATAGCCAGGTGCGATGGTACACACCTTTAATCCCAAAACTTGGGAGGCAGAGGCGGGCAGATCTCTGTGAGTTCAATGCCAACATGGTCTACATAACAAGTTCCAGTCCAGCCAGAGACTTATAGTAAGATCTTGCCTTAAAACAAGAAAGAAAAGAAAAGAAAAGAAAGGAAAGGAAGAAAGGGTGTGTGTGTGTGTGTGTGTGTGTGTGTGTGTGTGTGTGTGTCTGTGTGTGTGTGTGTCTGTGTGTGTCTGTGTGTGTGTAAATGGCTCAGTGGTTAAGAGCACTTCCTGCTCTTCCAAAGGACCTGGGTTCAGTACCAAGCATCCACATCAGGCAGTTTACAACCTCCTATAACTCTAGTTCCCATGAATTCATCATCATCTTCTGGCCTCCTTTGTCACTGCTCACAAGTGCTCTCAGGAACACACACACACACACACAAATAAATAAATAAATAAATAAATAACTTTTAATATTAGGCAAAATGTGAAGGATAAAGAATAACTATATAGTATACAATTACAAAAGATAAGACAGAAAATTAAAAAGTTGAATATGCAGTTACAAAATGGTGTTTGTGATTTCTTTCCCACAGGAGTACAAACACTATTGGACAGAGTTGAGAGGAACCACACTCTTCTTTTATACCGACAAAAAAAGTACAATAGTAAGTAGCTTGACATGTTTACCTGGTTCAGCTTTTCAATAGACCATTGGCATGTAATCTATTATCCATTTTTTCCTATCACCCCAAAATAAAGGTGTTAAAAAATGTAACTCTGAGGGGTCTATCAATTACGATGGGATAGGGGTGACAATTCCCTAAACAACTCAGAAGGTATTAACTCATATTTTTAACTTTTTGTTCTTATTTTCCTGACCTAGATAATAAAGAGTTACGTTAAAAGTAGAAATTTTAGATTCTTGGGCATAAACTGCTAAATACAAATGATAGCTCCCATTTCTTGTAATCTTGGCACACTAGTGAATGCAACCATTATCTGAAAGGAACAAGATGATTCCCATAGCATCAGAAAATATGATGTAACAATTTAATTTTCCTAGACAAAAAATACCCTCTAATAGCAGACTCCTAAGAGCTATAGTGTGAGAATAATGATGAAGTGATTCTTCAATTAATTCTTTGCAGACTAAGATTTTCAGTGTATATTCCAACTTTCTAGTGGCACCAGGAAAGCAAAAACCCTGGCCTAAACATGTGTGATTTATAGTAACCAAGTTCATTTATTACTTCAAGAGGCAGTGCAACGTGGTGATTGAGATCCTGGTATGCCCAGAAAGACTGTCTAGTTTTTTAAAGCTTTAAAGCTGGCCCTATCATTGTTAACTGGGATCTTGAGATAATTACCTAACCTCTCTGAGACTCGTTGCATAAAAAGGGACATGGTAGAAAAACAGATGACATCTCAAATTGGTCAGTTTAAAGAATGTTTAATTAGGTTCTTATAAATATTCAAAGCAGTGGGCAGAATAGAAAGAAGTCACAAACAGTGCTCTGAAGCTAAAAATAGAGCTGTATCACCACATGAAAGGAAAGAGTGGGAGGGCTTCTACTTAAGGGAAGCATGACGTTTGATTGAGGGAGCAGCTAGACAGGGTGATAAACATCATCCTCACTCTGACCTCCTGCTGAAGGTCCCCAATGGTCCAATTCAACATGAAGTCAAACGGTATGGCAAACTCTGATGTCATATACATCCTCCTGGTGCAGTGTTGGGAGGTCAAAGGATACAACTGAATCTGTGGGAGCAAATAACAAAGAAGCACACAGGAACTCTCCAGTACTCCCATTTTTCAAATCTCTGTATTTAGGATGAAATTCATAGTCATCTATCTCATAAGGCTATAAAAATAATCAAATGAGATGGGACATAAAAGGACTTCAGTCAGTAGACTGCACACAGTAAGCACTCAGATTGTTTACATATATATACTATTTAATTCCTATGCAAACTCTGTAAATTTGCTTTCTGGTTTTTATCATTATGTCTGGTTTTTGATCAAGGCCTTCTGTGAAAGCTGTCTGCTTAACTCATGATCCTCCTGCCTCAGTCTCCTGAGTGCTGAGATTGCAAGCATGCACACCACTGGCCACCACTTCATCCCTATTTATAAATGGAAATTGTCAAGTTTAAGGATTAAGAAATTGTGCACAATCATACTTACCTGGCAGGGTTGATACCATCATCAAGAAGGTGGTTTTCCAAGGGCAAGCCTTCTCCATTTTATTCGAGATTTGCTAATCCCTGAAATTTCCCCAAATGTGCCAAATGCGGGGAATTGACTGCGTAATGTGTTAGTGGAATACTGAGTTCACATTTTCCCCTAAAATAATTTGATACACACACACACACACACACACACACACACACACACACACACACTTATGAAATGATACAAGTTCATACAGCTAGTAAAGGGGAGTAACCCAGGTGTGGCTTGTGAGCTGGTGGTCTTTTTTAGGGCACTGTGTCACAAAGAGGTCACAACAAAAGACTGTCGAGTTGTCCACCTACCAATTTTGTTAAAAGAGGATGAAAACCCTTGGGGAAGTTTTTTTGGGGATACTCTCAGTAGAAACAATGGGAGGACCAGCTGAGAACTTCAGGCATTTGTATGGTCCACAGCATGGAACAACTTGAAGCTGCTTTTACATATCTAAAAAAAAGGGGGGGGGTAAGAGGAAGCCACATCAATAGGTCACTGAATTTGTTTAGTGCTATTCTGTAGAAAAGAGTTCAGGACCAATGGACAGGAAATACCTAGAAAAAAAATGGGACTCAGTACAAGGAACACTTAGCAAGGCTATTTCAGAAGTGTGAGTTCACTGTTTTTACAGATGCTCAACTGAGGCTTGAGCATAACATAGGGAGCAGACCCAAACATCTGGGCTAGACAGATGACCTTTAAGGCTCTTTACAGCCTACCATCAAAACTAGAAGATATGACTTCCCTTTCTGTAATTGGTGTGTCAGCACTGTCTGTTAAAGCAAAACTCACTGAGTCTGATCTAGACAGTCCACCATACACAGATGTGTTTAAGTTCTGGTTTTGTACCCTTGTATTTATCCTTCTATTTTAAATTTTTCTTTGTTTCTTGAAAATAAATAGGACAAACGAAGCTTAACCTCAACCTCATCAATATGGAAATTGCTCTGGAAAACTATTTGTCTGTTTTTATGCCCTACATTATCTAGGAAAGTTAAGAGAGACACATAAGATATTATACTAGGAACAGCTGAGAAAAACTAAGGGCGAGAGAAAGAAGTGAAGAATGGGCTAATTTGTCAAAAAAAAAAACAACTAAAAAACAAACCATAAAACCCCTATCACATGAGGTCTTTCTAATAGTAGAGGACAATGTTGGCCTGTTGTATACAGAGCAATTGCTCAAAATGTTTTTGGTGCACCTGAAAATCAGAAATTTCTTAATAGGTACTTATAGCCAGTGGTGTTCGATGAATGTGATGAAGGATGACTTTCTAAAATAAAGTTTACATATGAAAATAGGTATATAAACTCATAAACATAATTTGTGTAAAGATGTACAGCACTCATTTGAGAAAATACTTAATATTGTTTACTATAACTTTTTTATTATAACAATTCTTTTTTGTATAGACATTTGATTCTATATGTATGAGTACAATGCTTTACTTATTTTTGTTAAACAGTTCCTTTGATGAATTAGACATTATTTTTTTGAAAAAGTATTTTGCAACAACCATCACCCATGGACAAGGAAGCAACTTTAGATATAATGGACTAATGAAGTTTCATCTGGGTTATTAACATTTTTTTCTATTATTTTCTATAGTTTAGACAGAAGGCCAGAAAGTCAGTAGACCTTGAGGTAAATTTGACCTATGACTTGATTTTATATGGTCCCTGAAAAAATCACTTTATCTTTATTTTTTTTACATTTTCAAAAATCTATAAAGAGAAAGCAAAAACAGAAAAATATGTAATGGAGAATTATACACACCCAGGGTATTTATTATTAGAAGGGCTGCCTTTGGGAAAAGCAACAAGCCAACAACATACACATTCATTTTTAAATGGTTTACTAATTTCCATAGTGTAAACACTCCTGTCATGACTGATCCAGCCTATCAAGGTTGAATGATAGCCTGGAGTATGAAGAAATGCAGAGCAGCACTGTTACATGGTATTTATGCCACACAGAATAAAGACGTAAATAATGTTGAGGGCGTAGACAGTAAAATATTGCAATATAATTAGAAAATAATGAAACTTGAATTTTGACTATATTATAAATTTTATTTTAATGTAATAGTTTATTTACTGGTATGTTAATATAATTAAGTTTTAGTAATAACTATGTTAACCAAATGCAAAATTCTCAAAAATTTAATATTGTCTTTGCAGATTTGTATGGGTCAAGTCCAGCACACCACCACAAAACGCATTTTCACATACTTTTTAGGAAAACCAGGTTATCATGCAAAGTGCAAATATGTTTAAACTATTATTTCCCTTCACGCTAGAACAAATTTATCTTACCCAGGAAGTAACTTAACTTCGCTTTCCTTTATCTTTGCAGTATGTTGGCAAGTTAGACATAATAGACCTTGTATGCCTTACTGACCAAAATTCACCTGAAAAGAGTTGTGCAAAATTCACTCTTGTTTTGCCTAAAGAGGAAGTGCAACTGAAGGTGAGCGAAAAGTAGCAATTTGTAGAGTGTAAAGCTTATAATAGCCTTTATCTTTTAACATCCCGTGGTTGGAATGAAGAGGAATTACAAGGGGGGGCCAAGTCTTAATACTTCGCTAATATTGCCTGCCCTTCGCCAAGGACTACTGTGTTCTGAGTTACATTTTAGAAGAGCACATTCACTTGTTTAGTATCTAAGCACAATGAAACCTTAGACATCTGTCCTCTGACGACGTCAAGCATCCCACCTGGTGTTTGTCAAGATTGTCCCTGAATCAGCCTAGAGAGCTAAGAAAAATTGCCCAACAATGACACTCATAACACAGAGAACAACTTGGAGTTGGTAAAGACAATATTGGAGAGGTTCCTAGGAAGTTGCTGTTTGACGTTGAGCATCGCGGTGTTTAGAATGAATCTGAATTTAAGCAAGCTCTCTGTAGAGCTCTTGGACACAGAGGTGAAGAGTCAGGCAGAGTGAGGAGTCAGGCAGAGTGAGGAGGCAGGCAGAGTGAGGAGTGAGGAGGCAGGCAGAGTGAGGAGTGAGGAGGCAGGCAGAGTGAGGGGTCAGGCAGAGTGAGGAGTCAGATATCTGCTGAGGCAGACATTCGCTACTTTATGCACTAGCTGTGTATCACAGGCCAGTCACTTAACCTCTTTTGTTTCTTGAATTATAATAAGTAAGTCTTTGCTCAAATGTAAACTTCTCACTGTGGCCCACCTGGAACACGTCATCAAAATTGTAACCTTGTCTACCTAGCCTGTTGTGGTCCAATTGAGGATGACTCCATGGGCTCCTGTTTGAATGCTTGGTCCCTAGTTGGTGAACTTCCTGAAAAGGATAGAAAAATTAGGAGATGTGGCCTGGTTGGAGGAGGTGTGTCACTGAGGGTGGGCCTTGATTTCAAAAGTCCACACCAGGGCCAGGCCCAATCCTCCCCACCAACCCCTGTCTGTCTGCTTCCCGCCATGATGGTCACAATCCCTCTTAACCTGAAAGCAAATCCCCAGTTAAATGCTTTCTCTTTTATAAGAGTTGCCCTGGTCATGATGTCTCTACAGTAACAGAACAGTAACGAAGACAGCTGCTCTTTCAGCCCATTATCAGTTTGTCTTACTTCTACACTTTATTTTTCCTGTTTGTTTCCTTCCAACAATATCAAATGCACTATTATTTATTTATTCTTCCATGCTATATTTTTCTTTTTCTTTCTTTCTTTCTTTCTTTCTTTCTTTCTTTCTTTCTTTCTTTCTTTCTTTCTTTCTTTCTTTCTTTCTTCTTCTGAGACAGGATTTCTCTGTGTAACAGCCCTGGCTGTCCTGGAACTCACATGTAAACCAGGTTGACCTCAAACTCAGAGATCTTCCTGCCTCTGTCTCCCTAGTGCGGAGATTAAAGGCACACACCACCATTGCCCAGCCCTTGCTATATTTCAAACTCCACAAGAACAAGGATCTTCATTTTGTTCCCGATACCTATACTTAACAATACACAACATATATCTTTTAATTAAACTGATGCACAAAATGACATTAAAAATACATTTTGCTGAATTACCTTGAAGATTGTCAAAGGACAAAAACCACTTCATATAAAGGTCTTAAATTAGCTTTATAGTCTACTCAAGAACCGAGTGTGTTTTATTCCAAAGAATAAAATATTGCAGTCGGCTGAAAAGAAGAAATTTATTTCATAGACAGGGAAAGCAAGAACAAATTTAAAACCAGTAATAAAAGTAATTGCTCATTTCAAATGTTTCCATGGTAGGCAGAAATAGAAGGACAAATGATAGAAAAAATAACTAATTGATTATCAATAGATTACTTCAGGTTACTTTTTTTTTTCTTGGAAATAAAGGGGACAAATTGAAATTGGTCTCTGTGGGAAATGTGGCTGCTATGTTTCTTTCCTGATTTCTCAAGAAGGCCAGATAACAATTTAGTTTTGCTTTCGTGGTGTGGGACATCAGCACAAGTGGCCCCATTTTTATTTCTAGTGTGGACCGTGCAGGATCTCAGTGCAGAAACCTAGAAACAATGGCCACCTATAATATTTCTTAGACACAATTGAGCAGGTAATAGCTGTGAAGCGCTTAGCACCACAGTAGCTAGCACTGAGAGTGCGCAAAAGAAATTGCCTGGTGTTATTATTATTAGAAATCAAAGCAGTAAGTAGCCTTTGAAGATAAGAACTGGATTTTTTTTTTTTTTTTTTTTTTTTTGGTTTTTCGAGACAGGGTTTCTCTGTGTAGCTTTGCGCCTTTCCTGGGACTCACTTGGTAGCCCAGGCTGGCCTCGAACTCACAGAGATCCGCCTGGCTCTGCCTCCCGAGTGCTGGGATTAAAGGCGTGCGCCACCACCGCCCGGCTAAGAACTGGATTTTTTTTTTACATTGGTTTCCCCAAATTTCAAGCAAGCCAATGGAGAGAGTAGGCATTAAGTCACATATTGTAGAAGTAAATTCACTAACATTTCATTTTTTAAGTTAAGCATAAATTTGTACAATTGTACTTGTTTAGTAAGCAAATAATTTAAAGGTATATATTTCAGTTTTGTTTAAAAAGTTATCTACGTGTACATATGGTCTTTGTGCGTAAATGAGTGTACATGTGTGCCATAGTGCATGTGTTACACAGTGAGTGTGTGGAGGTTCAAGGACAGTCTTGAGTCCTCATCTTCTGCCTTGCTTGTGACCGGGTCTCTTTGTTGTCCAATGTTGGGCAATGCCAGGTTAGCTGGGGAGAGCTTCTAGAGATTCTCCTCTTCCTACCTCCTATCTTGCCATAGGCACACTTCCATTATGTGTCTCACTGTGCCCAACTTTATGTGACTTCCGGGGATTTGAACTCAGGTCTCAACACTTGTGTAGCAAGTGCTTTATTCATTGAGCCACCCCACCCCCAATCATTTCTACTTCTGTTTAATTAAAAAAAGGGGGGGACTGAAATATTTCATGATAAACATGTTAATAATTCTAAGCAAAAGGAAAGTGAATTAGCATTTCTCCTTGCAGCTGATTTTATGTAGTTTAAACTTTTCAAATGTTCTTATTTAACAAAGTGCCCGAACAGAAGACTATGCAATTTTTGCTAGTCTTACTAGTTTTTTTCTCTTTTTTGCATCTATATGTGTGTGGTATATGTGCATGTGAGCACGTTTATTTGGATGTGTGTGGGTATACATGTGTGTGTAGGTGCACATGCATATGTGTGTTTATGTACGGGGTGGCCAGAAGTTAACAGCATATATTTTTCTCATTCACTTCCATCTTACACATTGAGGCAACACCTCTCACATGGACACGTAGCTTCCCAATTTGGCTAACCCAACTAGCCAGCTTGCTCTAGAGATCCTCTGACTTTATCTCTCTGGCACAGAGATTACAGTTGGGCTGCCATGCTCACTTGTCATTTTACTTGGGTTCCAGAGGTCCAAACTCTGGTCTTCACACTAGGGTGACATACACTTCCCCCAAAGAGCCATCTCCTTCGCCTGCAACCTTGTGAGCTTTTCATGGTGCACCTACCTTGTCCTATCATCATGTGAAGTTCTTGTTACTTAAAGTTAGTACAGATCAGTCACTAATTATGTATTTTCTGCTTTGCTTTTGTTTCCGTCTTTAGACAGAAAACACAGAAAGTGGGGAAGAATGGAGGGGCTTCATTCTTACAGTAACAGAGGTAAGAAGGCCATCCCTTTCTTTTGTTGAACAAGGTCTCAATAGCCCAAGCTGGCCTCAAACTTATGATATGCCTGTCTCAACCTCCCGAGTGATGAGATTACCACCGTGAGTCACCATTCCCAGCAGAAGATCATGTCAACCTGTTGATTCACTTGTTTACTAAATAGTCGCTATCATCACTACCATTACGGACATTAAAGTGTCTGAGTATATAGGAACTAGAAAAGGCAGATAGAAATCCATGCTTTTGATTCTGAACATTACATTTTTATCAGGTGGGTTGAGAAGCTAAAGACACGGGGTAAATACACAAGCCCATTTCATCTTGAGATAACGGTTCTGAAGTGATGCAGGTGAGCAGGGATAAGGAAGATCTACTGCTGTCATTTTATCTTTTTGGCTGTGAGCCTTAGGCTTCACAGCTAAGCCCTACCATCTTATCTTTTTAACATGGAGGTGTTTTATATATACTGACATTTGTCATTTTCATAGTTTTATTATAAAACAATCTCCAACATTTTTCTCTTAAATTTATAAAATGCTGTGCTGCACTGGTTTTGTGAATGAAATAGACAACATGAAAGAGAGAACCCATCCAAATGAAAATTCACCTTTAAACATTTATTGCGTTCGTCTTAAAACAAAAGGATGCTTATCTGCTCAATGGCAGCATCTTATCAGAGGCAAATAGTCAGACCCATTGCTTAGAGTCAACTACTGGGGCAAGATAAAGTACCATTAGTTTGAATAAAGCCACAGCAGCAACTGTCTTCAAAACATGAGATACTTCGATAACCAGCACCATGTTCTTTAAAACTTTTCGAGAAAATGAAAAGTTTCCAGGTTGGGCTCAAATGCCTGTTCCACCCAAGTGAGTTTCTGAATAAAGTCTTTGCAGTCATAAAATAAGCTGGACTCTTTACCAAGACACTGGGTGCTGATTCTTCATATCACCCTTTTACAGGTAAAATGGGTGGAGGGTCAACTGCCAGATAGGGTGTCCCTCTGAGGCCTGAAAGGAGACTTTTAAACAGGTGAAGGACATACTCGTGGGGTTGGAAAAGAGACTGTTAGAATTGTGCTTCTTTCTACCTCTGTTACAGAAAGGTCCCACAGGCTGCCATTGAGTGTCTATAAGTACTCCAAGGGCATGTGGCTGGCATAACACTGAACCCACTGGAAAAGTCTTGGCACCCCTTCGTGATGGCACCCCTTCATGATACATGAATACTTCTTGAAGTTTTGGCCATTTCATTTATATTTTTCCTTGATTAAAGACAGAAAGCAATGATTTTTAATTCAAACATTGACATAGGATATAAAATGCATTTCATATGAATTTTCAAATTAAAACACTTGGTCTATTATTTTATACTCTATAAATATTTGGGACACAGTATCCAGTCACTGCATGTGAATAAATCATTTGTAAAAATATTCCACTGTACTGACTATTCCTCCAAGAACATAATGAGGCACTAGACTGGGGGATGCAAACAATTCAGTAGACATATTTGGGGGACTCAATCAAAAACACACTTCTAGAAAAGGTAGTCCCAACAAAACTAACTACCGTGTAATATTTTAGACCTTTATTAGAAGTGCACAAGTATCAGAGACTTCAGGAGACAAAGAGGTGACCTCATTCCTGAATCACAATAGCCTAACTAGTAATGGTGCTCTGGACTTTCATCTTTCTGAGCATATTTTCAGTTTTGTTATTGTTGTTTTTGTTGTCATAAAGTGCAAATAACAATATCTGCCTTGTAGGATTGTTGTACTTTTGATAACATTTGTATAGTGATTGAGATACATACAATTGAAAATTCATGAGAAGTAGCTAAAGGAGAAACATTAAAATAAAATAAGAGGTAATTATTTTACTAGTTCCTCCTCATTGTTTTATTTATTTTGCTTTGGTTATTTGTTAGAATAATGGGAATATGAACCTTTTTGATTGTGCATCCCTATCAGTGAATCATCTAAATTTCATGCATACAGATACACACAAATACAAACAACAACATGAATTAATGAAATACTAGCTAAGCATGAGACTGGGGTGAAGCCTTACTGGGTAAACTCCTAAGTCAGGATCCCCAGCGCTTACATAAAAGCCAGCATCTGTAACTCCAGTGCTGATCAGTTTAACATAGGTGGACAGTTAATCTAGTCACACTATACAAATACTACTACTACTAATATGGAGTACAATAGAGAAAGACATCTGATGCTGACCCAGGCCTTCTCATATGCGTTTATGAGCAAGCCCACTCCCCTACACATGCATACACATGCATACAAAACACACGCACACACACACACACACACACACACACACACACACACACACACATACAGAGAGAGAGAGAGGCAGAGAGAGACACACACACAGAGACAGAGAGAGACAGAGAGAGCGAGAGCGCTAAGTTTTCTTGTTTTCTTCCCACACTCTCATGGATTCTCTTGTTTATCTCCTGATGAGTACACACTCTCCTCTGGTGGTCAAATTATAACCCAACATGGCTGCCCCAAATACAGTCCAGCTAATGTCACATTTAGAAAAATACTGCATCATACTTCCCCAGAAAGCACAGGTTGTTCCCAACTAAATTTGAGATGTGAATATGACTATATATGGATAATCAAATTCAAAACACATTTCTAGAAAAGGTAAACAACAAAACTAATATGTAGAGAAGTATCAAAATGCTAAAATAGGGGGCCCCCAGGCAGGGGGATTGGGATCCATCACTGGTGCACGGGTGGGCTTATTGGAGCCCAATGCCTAGGCTGTGACACCTTGCACAGCCTTAGTGCAGTGGGGAGGGGCTTGGACCTGCCTCAGCTGACTCTGGGGCAGGCTCTGCTGACTCCCCATGGGAGACCTTGACTTGGGAAATGTGGGGATGGGGCGTGGGTTGGGAGGAGAGTGGGGGTAGGAAGAGGGTAGAGGGGGCAGATCTGTGGTTGGTATGTAAAGTGAACAGAAAATTTCTTAATAGAAAAAAAGACAACAATGTAAACCTGCTGATCTTATGCTCATTTCAAACCCATGTTGATAACAATGTATCTCCCTGGAGCTCCTAAGCATCTTGGGCATTGCTAAGCTAGTGAGTTAGAATAAGAAATGAAAGATTGGTTGCTACTTATCTATCAGTAAAAAGCATGTGTATTTTGCCCTGAGACCAAATCAAAACAGAAGACTTCAGCCAGTCATGGTGGTGGCACACATCTTTAATCCCAGGACCTGGGAAGCAGAGGCAGCTAGATCTCTGTAAGTTTGAGATCAAACTGGTGTACAGAGTGAGTTCTAGGACTGTCAGGGCTACACAGAGAGACCCTACCACAACAAACAAGAAACAAAACAGATGACTTCTTAGAAGAAGGCTCTACACTGCCTGCCGGCTCTAGTCAATAGAGGGGCAGCTCTAGGATGTCGACTTTAGATTGAAATCTTCTATTTACTCTTCTCTCCATTCATTTCTGACAAGTCACTAAAACTCCTTAAGGCCAACAAGCTCGTCTTTACTGAAGCCAGAAGGCTACTTAGCTGTGGTTGTAGTTTGTCTGCTGTTCCGATTTCAGTTGTCGGTTCCTCAACACGTATCGCTTCTACCCGGGCAAGTGATTAGACTACACGAAGTCTTAGAGAGAGAGAAGAAAAGAAGGCTTGAGACAGAACAGCCGCCAATTATACCTGCAGAGAAAGAGAAGGAGCCAGTACAAGATGATGTGGATGCACCGAACCCTATGCCAGCGTAAGTGCACGATTGCCTCATTTATTCATTTAGTTAAGACGGATTTCTAATTAGCAGGTAGCATGACCCGCTTGAACTTGCTACACAAGGGATACCAAATACCTTGGGGATAAATCGTATGTCTCTGAGCACCTAACACATTTCCTCTTCTATGTCAAGATCAGCATCACGCACCTTTGAACTAACCCTTACCACAGAGGAAATCCCCTTCTACCCACACATCTAGACTAAATATATATCTTTCCGAAGCTCAAACCTGAATTAAAACTGCTATGAAGAAGGAAGGAAAAGGTGTGTGTGTGTGTGTGTGTGTGTGTGTGTGTGTGTGTGTGTGTGTGTGCCCCCATAATTGGATTATTTATCATCATTAATACCAAATCTTTTAAAAATCTTAGAATATTGTACTCAGTTGTTTGATCAGTGAGCATTGAACTTGACCTCTGAGGAAAGCCTTGTGTAAAATGTTCAAAATAGCAATGGTACAGCATCTGGATTCTGAAGCATCCCACATGTGTCTTCTTCATTGCTAAAAATATGATAGGCCTTTTCCTCTGGAAATCTTGGTGCTTTTGTCATTAAAGCATGTCCTGACTCCATCTCTGACATTAGGTTCTGATGTACAATCTATCTGTACTAAAGCCACCGGGACCTACTAATCAATGCTGCTAGCTCAAACTAGACAAGTGATCAATTCATAGGATAAAAATCACATAGACTGCTTCTTTTTCTTTTTCCCCAAAACAAGAAGCAATGTGTTTATTACAGACAAATAAAGAGAAGATTAAAACTAAGTCTTGTCACAACACTTGATGATATTTACCACTAACATTTTAGATGTATCATATACTCCATGAAGTTTATACATGGCTATTATATTTCACTAAATATAACATGTATTATAAAAACAGGAAGTGTTTAATTTCTTAATTTTGTGTCTAAAAATACTACTGGTGCCATTGTAACACAAATTATAAGCCAAGAGTGGTGGGAAACCTTTAATTCCAGTGTTCAAGAGGCAAGTGCAGGTGGGTCTCTCAGTTCAAGGCTAGCCTGGTCTACAGAGCGAGTTCCAGAATAGCTGGGTCTATAAGGCTATACAGAGAAACCCTGTCTCAAAATACCAAATGAACAAACAAATGAATAAACCCCACAAACTACAAAACATACCAGATGTAGTCAGTTCAGCTATAGTCTTAATGTCAGTGGTTTAAAGCAGAGCCCCATTAACTAGACGTGGTGCCTCACACCTTTAATCCCAGCACTGGGAGAAAAAGGCAGGTGGATCTCTGAGGTTAAGGCTAACATAATTTGTTTATATGGTGAGTTTCAGGCCATCCAGGGCTACAAATCGAGGCCCTATCTCAAAACAAATAAACAGATTAATAACAAAAATAGACCCTCAAAGACAGTCTTGGGACATTTTGGAGTCCTGAAAGGAAAGCATTGTAACACAAATTGCTAAATGGTCTTATTAATAAAAAAAAAAGAAAGAAAGAAAAGAAAAGAAAAGAAAAAACAACACAGAGCCAGATATTGGGGTGAATGCTGAAAGATCAGTGAAGCAGAACAAGCCAACCACGTTCTTGCCTCTACAAAATCCTCAGCCAGAGAGAGACTTCCTGTTTACTCATGCCTTATATACCTTTCTGTGCCCTGCCACCTTCCTTCCTTCCTAGTGCTGGGATTAAAGGCATGTGTGCCACCTCGCCTGGCTCTGTTCCCAGTGTGGCCTTGCACTCACAGAGATCCGGATGGATCTCTGCTTCCCGAATGCTAGGATTAAAGGCGTGTGCTACCACTGCCTGACCTCTATGTTTAATATAGTGGCTGGCTTTGTCCTCTGATCCCCAGGCAAGCTTTATTGTGGTACACAACATACCACCACAAAGCACCAACAAATTAATCTTAGCCCCTGTTGTGAATTAAGACTGGGGATATGCTATTAGTTGTCATAGGTTTTCAATGGTGATCATGGTTATGCATGGATTAGTAGATTGCTTTTCATGTTCTCTTTGTTTAAAAGATAACTCTGTATCTCTCAAGGTGTTTAGGTAGCATTATTTTCAAGTAATGATATTCATCAGTTTAAAAAAGAACTTTTTTTTTAATCTCACATTTGTAGATGTTTTTATGCAGTTTCCCGGAAAGAAGCAACTGAGATGCTGGAGAAGAATCCTTCTTTGGGAAATATGATCCTGAGACCTGGTAGTGACAGTAAAAACTTCTCCATCACTATCCGGCAGGAGATAGAGTATGTTCAATTAATCTGGCTATCATACTGTTAAGAGCATGGTATTCCAGTCAGTACCTGTTATGCTGTCTATTAGGGCTTCAAATATAAACACAAGCATGAGAAGCAGTGTGACATAAGCAAGTCTCTCTCCTTAGTGGTAATAAAGAGAACAGGTCTGGGATTGCTATTGTTTAATATACAGTGTTCACAAAGGCAACTCAGTTAACTGATGTTTAAGCAGAGACTCAAAGGGAGTGAGAAACCAAACCATGTCAGTATGTGGGGAAGAGCATTCCAGGCAGCAAGTGTCCATGCCCAGAAGCAGAACACCTCTCTTGTTCAGGAAACAGAAAGTGCCTGCATACTTTAGCTATAAAAAGGCCTACTGAGGAGCCTCCTGCTAAAGTTTATACATATTTGTAAAATGGTTTATGTTTGATAAAGCTAGTAATACTTAGATGTAAGTGTCAGGGCGGAAGAGCTAGCTCCTCAGGGGAGTGCTTACTTTGCAAGTGTGAGAACCAGAGTTCAATCTCCAGAACATATAAGGTGGGGGGAGGAAGGGAGTAGGGAAGGGAGGGAGGGAGGAAGGAAGGAAGAAAGGAAGGAAGGAAGGAAGGGAGGAAGGAAGGAAGGAAGGAAGGAAGGAAGGAAGGAAGGAAGGAAGGAAAGAAGGAAGGAAGGAAAGAATGAAGGAAGGTAGAAAGAAAGGAAGGAAGATGATGATATATACTTGCAATTCCAGCAGTGGGAGGTGGAGACAGGCCAATGCTTGGGGCTCACTAACCTACCTGGCAAGCTGCAGGCCAGTTAGAAACCTTGTCTGAAAAAGAAGGTTGAGGGTGCATCTAAGGTTGATCTCAGGAATCTACAAGTAAGTGCACACATGCACATGGGTAGTCACACACAAATATACACACAAAATAATTTCATACATAATTAGAGTTGCTGGACCTTCTAAGGCCATTCCAACTTTCAGAGTCTATAAAAACCTCTGCATTTTTTTTTTTTTTTTTTTTTTTTTTTTTTTTTTTTTTTTTTTGGTTTTTCGAGACAGGGTTTCTCTGTGTAGCTTTGCGCCTTTCCTGGGACTCACTTGGTAGCCCAGGCTGGCCTCGAACTCACAGAGATCCGCCTGGCTCTGCCTCCCGAGTGCTGGGATTAAAGGCGTGCGCCACCACCGCCCGGCCAACCTCTGCATTTTTAACAGAGATTCTGGTTTAGGTAACACTGTCACAACTGACAATATAATTTAAAATACAGAAGCTTCTGTCCTACATTTAAATATTAAATAAGTGACTATGTCTTATTGAAAACATAAATGGAACATTGATTTTTCTGAATCTACTATTCTTTGTTAGGATCATATTCTATTTATTTACTATAATGTATCTACCAATAAATATACCAATTTATTTCATAAATAGCTGTCATTCTAAATAGATTGAATATGAAGACATTAACAGTGGATAAACAGGTAAAAAGTAAATATATTTTAGAGAAAAAATTAAAACCATGGCAGTATGGCTCAATTACTATTATAAGCCATGGCTCCAAAGCTTCATTTGCTTGCCAGTTAATATAAATAAACCCTTGTCTTCCTAGAGTGGCCATACATCGGTGACAAGAATGTTAGGTGAGAAATTAGATCCTGGTGCTCCCAAATATGCATTGGTATCTCTGTGTATTTTTATATTTTTCCACTGTGAATAATTGTCAATCTTCTTGTGGATTCCTTATGTTTCTTACTTATTATATACTAGAATTTATTTAGCTTATAGCATATGCTATAATGACATATGCTTTTATAAGCTAAACAGCAGCAACACATTTTCAACTCCATTGGAATATAATAAAATATTATATATTTTTAAATTTACAATTTATTTGATTAATAATTTAATCAGGGATCTCAAAAGAAGTACGGGTTATAGCTGCCAGTGAATATATTTTTTTGGCCAACACAGTTCTTTTTTTTTGAGATTATAAATAATCACAACATTCTCCCTTACCTTTTATCCCTCCAAATCCTCCCATATAATCTTCTCCATTCTCCTTCAAATTCAAAGCCTCTTTTTTCACTAATTGTTATTGCATGCATATAAATATATATCTTCCTAAATATAACATATAAGTATAACATAAATGTTTCTAATTGTTATTGCATGCATATACACATATATTCCTAAATATAATCTGCTCGATCTGTATAATGTTACTTGCATGTATGTTTTCAAGGCTGATCATTTGGCACAGGACAACCAAATGGTGTGCTCTTCCCTTAGGAAAACCACTTCTCCCACTCAAAGATTTCCTCAGTTGCCTACAACTCTCTGTGGTTGAGGCCTACTGGGTTTATCCCCTGATACACTTTGGAATGTTCATTGGTGGTGTCCTTTTTCAGCTCAAGCTTGGGCAGTCCTGAACCCTGGAAAAGCACTCACTCCAGATACAAAGCAGAAAATTCCACCCTGCTCTCAGGGTTTAACATCTTCTAGTTAATATGTCACTTGATTTTTAAAGATAACTATCTGAAAGAGGATTAGAATTGTGCCTTGCTAATAGAGTACAGCTTAGTTTAAAGTTTTTGGCAGGAATCTGGACTATTAAGAAACACCTGTGTTTCCTACAAAACAAGCTCATATTCTTTCAGGGAGGTTTCAGGAGAAATGCTCAGCCATGCAAGTTGATGAGTGAGTACGGTAAACACAAACTGGGAAGGACAAACTGGTTTACAAAGCAGAACTTGAAAGTGATTTTCCCCCATGTGCTTACAGATCAGCTGTAGGAAGGAAGGCTGCCATTGGGAGTAAACAGAGCTTGCCTGTGCCAAATCAGCAGGTGATTCCTCTCAGAGCAGAGCATCATCTATCTTTAATCAGCTCAGTGGCACATGAACTCTTAAGACAGAAAGCTATTTTTACAACAAACCTCACACTTTAAAAAAAAAAAAAATTTCCTTGAAGTTGTTCTGACTAGGTGCCAGGCTGGCATTATAGTCAAGTAAGTCATTATTAGCTAAGGAGGAAGTAGAAAACTTTTATCCCAAATTCATCCTTTTTTAAAACTTGAGATCAGGAACTAAGAAAACATATTTAGAACCTCACTTCAACCCATGCTTTTCTTTTCCTTTAAAGACTAGCTTCTCTTTTTCTGTCTTAGCTTAGGTTGACTTGTAATTCTCCTGGCTCAGCTTCTTAACTGCTGGTATCACAGGTGTGAGCCACCACATCTCATTTTACTTACTCTATTTTTGATATCACAACCAAAATGCTTTAAACAGCTAATTTTATCCATTTTGTCTTTTATTTTGCAAAGCAAAACAAAACAAAAATTGGAAGAAAAGTACAGTCTACAAGGAGAGACAAAGCCTATGAAACTTCAGGGCCACTGTTTTTCTGCATCAACTTTGACTTCAAAACTTAGTCCCATTACTCAAAAGTCCCAAGGGCTTCTACTGACCTCTGTCTGCCTTCATCTCACACTTTCCCCATGAATTGAGTATATGAAGTGATGGCTACTACCAACAAATGTTGTCCCATTATATGATACCCTTTGTATACCTTGTGTTGAGTGCTACAGACATTTCCTACAGGCACAAAGAATAATTGAGACAAATAGTATTTCCATGCTTTATAAACTAGATTGACAGAAAATAATATTATCTACATAGTAAATGTAGATAAAATAAGTATAATTCAGTGAGTGCTTAAATATGTCAAGGACTGTACTAAGGGCTTTGAGAGTATTAGACCACAATAGCCCTAAGAGGTAAACCTTTACCATCTCCATTATGTAGACTGAAAACACACACATGCTCTCTCTCCTCTCTCTCTCTCTCTCTCTCTCTCTCTCTCTCTCTCTCTCTCTCTCTCTCTCACACACACACACACACACACACACACACACACACACACGGTGGGAGGGATGTTTCACACACATTCACACACATGGTGGGGGGATATTTAGAGATCACATATGACAGAAACAGAATTTAAGCCAATGGTCCTATCAATCTCCCAAAGTCATTTAATATCAGGATACAGGAATTCTAATTGAAAGTGAAGAGCATTTTCAACAGTAACTTTCTGGTTACAAAGATCTTTTCCTGGTAGGGTAACAATAAGGCCAGAGCCAACCATTTTAAACAGGCACATGTAAAACATACTCTGTCCAGAGACTCTTTCCCTGCCAGTCTGTAACTAATTCATGACATTTTATTGTTAAGGAATATTTCTTATGAAGGGAGAAACTTGGCTAAGGTTTATGCCCTATTTTGAAAGTAGGCCATTGCGATTAAAGATTTGCTTTCCAATGTGGTAACCAGTAGAGTGGAGATTTGGATGTAATGACAGATGAGGAGAGTCACCAAATAGGACACTGTCATACAGTTTAGCCCTCATGGAATATGAACTAGAAGTGGGAAAGTTGTGGTTCTAAAAGGAAGGTGAAAAGGCCCTGTAGACAAGTTAAACCTGATGAATACTTTTCCTTAGCTTCTAAATATGAGGTGAATATTGAATTAGTTTGCCATTCTGATAAATGACACCATAATACATGTTGTTAACTTGTCACCATTAGAAAAAGTTTGAGTTAAACACCATTGCCATGTGAACCAAATGAGTTCAAGACAATCATGCTACTATCCAAAAGTAACTGCCATGGACATTGACTTCTGTCCTCATCACGGGTTCTTAGCTCACAGCAGATAGCATTAGGAGATGAACTCCGAATATTGTTAAATCTGGCTTTATAAATAAGTGCTGTGTTTATAATGTTGGAATACAGTGATGGAACACAATGTGATTTCTTGTTCTGAAGCAGTTCATAACAAAATCTTATCATTTGGGGTGGTAACAATTTAGTATGTTATCTATCTAAAGAGGAAGGCCTGAAGATGCCCCTGCCCTATTTGCATTCCCATCCCTCACCTGTTACAGAGCACCCAACATCTTTCCTGCCTTTAAGACATCCACAATGTTAGCAGCAATGTTGGATAGCATCTGAACTAACACAGTGACAGCTGTAAGGGCTATTTGGTGGTATTAGTGATGAGGTGGAGTATAAAGCTATTTGCTTTCAATAATTCTTTCTACTTTTCTTTTACTAGAGAGGGCACATCATTTAACTTATAAATCCCCACAGAAGATTTCTTTTATTCCTTTTAGTTTGGGTTTATTTTATTTTATTTCAGTTTTGGGGAGTGGACATTATACATGTTAGAGAAGTGCTGAACCACTGGGCTACCGTCCTACCCTTTCATAATATTTTGTAGGTCTACTTTATAGGTTACTGACTGAGAGAGTTTTAGTTTTTATTTTTATCTATTCTTTTCTCATTTACCAATGTGGTGACTCAGATTTCATATGCCTCCCATTTTTTTTCCATTTGCCTCGAAGAGATATAGTAATCCCAGTGGGAAAAAAAAACAAGATGCTCTACCCTAAACTATAGTTGTAGATGTACAGGTTTACTACACAGGGCACATTCTATACTCATTAAGTTTGCAATGACTCAACTGTATAATTAAAGTGAGGTCAACCCTGTATTTCATTTTAGAATGCCAAGAATCAAGCACTACAAAGTGATGAGCACTGGAAAGAACTACACCATCGAACTGGAAAAGCCTGTACGTAGCCATCTCTGTTGTTGATAAACTTTTTCCTGTTGCCTTCCAAACCGACCTTTATAAAATCCAGAGAAAAGTAGGAAAACAGAAGTCTTCTTCAGGAAGAGACACAGTGATTGTAAAAGGGAGATAAGCAACTCTAGGTAAGACAGGAAGGGTGAGAGCCTTGAAAGAACAGGCAGGTGAGATTGACTGGAAGATAACCTTCATCTAAAAGTGGTTTTCCCTTTACTTTCTCTGCAAATGATTACTCAATATGATTGTTTCAGAGAAAGAAAAATGTTTTTATGAATTGTCTATATAATATCCTCTATTTACAAATATTCAAATGAACCTTTATCTGAAGGGAAGCAATCTCATGTCTTGTCCTCTAATACCTACCATACCGAAGTCCAACAATGCCCTCTTAATAGCAGTGTACTAGAAGGCCTGGTTTCTTGTCTTCAACCCCTCCTCAAGCTCAGTTATTATATCATGGAGCCAATGATAAGCAATCTCATCCTCCAGCACAATGTCTGGCACACAGCTAGGTAATTTACATATTCAATTTAGTCTTTTCTATTTCCATGAGGTAAATATTGTTATGCCTATTATACAGGAGAGTAAAGTGGCATTTATACTCGTCTCAGCCATTGAAAATGTGGTGATGTGGCCTGTATTTCTTTAAAATTAGCTTCTCGTTCCTTTGCCTCTCCAGGCACATTGTATAGCAATGTATAGGTAGAATTTCTCATGCTTTGACTATAAGTCTCAGAGAGACACTGATTCACACAGCTCACTTCAGTCAAGAATGTCTCCAGAACTTCTCAGATCCACATCTGTGGATCCAGCCATGTATCTCAGCCAATTGGAAACTCCAGATCTTCTTGCCTCTGTCCCCCAAGTGCTGGGGCAATAGGTATGAACTAACCAGGCCTGGCTCCAACTGAGCTTTGTAAGCAAAGTTCTGCTGAAGGAAGCAGAGGACTAGGTTTCTGAAGGAGTATCCATAAAACTAAATGGCCAGAAGTGGTTCCAGTGAGGAACAATGTAACTAGTGTACCTTTGTAAGTGGAGACCTGGACTCCTTGTGGTTAGCCTCTACAGTCCACAGTAGAAGGAAAATGGACAACCTGGATAGTTCTGTCAACTTTCAAACTCCTTTGTTACCCAGCCCTTCAACCAGATTGCATAATTTATAACCAGACATGTCCAATTGCTTCTGTGGGATTTTCCTATTCTCATTTACTTCCTCCGCACCCAAATCCCTAGTTCTAGCACCATCTGTGGGAGGTCAGCTTCCACCTTTTAAAGGGTTCCTATGAGGAGGAGAGAGGAATAAGAAATGTTTTAGATAGAAAGATAACAGAGAGAAGACAGACAGAAACACAAGATAGCTTCAGGAGGACCTGGATCAAAATCCACTGGCCTCTTCTGTCTCTTCAAAAGGGCTTTTCATAACAATGCCAAAGGATGAGGCAAAAGACCTCCCCCTTGCTAGATCAAAGCATACTGCACAACCAAGTATAGACCCTTCCAAACACCTGGTAACCATGCTCATGATCAAATCATCCCCTTATGCAGCCCTGCTGGGTAAAGCAAGCTCAGACTCTCAGACCCTGAGTAAGTTCTCACTAGGAAACCTCTATGAGTGTCTACAGCTCCCCTTTCTTAATATAATAAAGGGCCTCTCAGACCCCTCAGACAGATTGTCCTGCCTTAGGTCATTCTTCTTCCATAGTCAACCTTACCCGTCCTTGTGATACACTTTCCATCAAGCATACTCTATCTTAGGTTGGAAGCTAGCAAGAAGAATATTACCCATTCCTGACTAACAGCCTCTGGCAGTGGGAAATACAGAGCTTAACTCAGCTCTGACTCAGGTACCTACTAAGAACTTGCAAATAATTGAAACAACCACAGCAGTCCCTAGGACTGCCACACTCCCCAGTAAAGGAGTAAAGGATGATAAAGAGAGAATGTCTTTTTTAAAAATATTTTTATTTAAAAATTTTTCTTTCCTTTTACACACCAATTCCTGTTTCTCCTCCCTCCCCTTCTCCTGATCCCTCCACCTACCCGCATCCCATCCCCATTCCCTCCTCATAGAAGGTAAGGCCTCCCTTGGATAGTCAACACAGGCTGTCATACCAAATTGGGGGTGGACCTAGCCTCTCCTCCATGCATCAAGGCTGAGTAAGGCATTGCATCATTTTGAATGGGTCTAAGATAGCTATAACAGCCTTAGCTGTGCCAAGCCCTTTTTAAAATCAATAAACTCTTGATGCAAAAACATCAAATAAATCAATTAATTCCTGATGCAACTGCATCAAACTCAAAGACTCTCTTAGCTTACACCAAACCATGATTCATTAATATCAACAGATTAACATAATTCTAGTATGAATACATATTTACAACTAGCATGAATATTACTATACATATTTACATTTCTTACAAACTTACATTCAAAAGCAAACTCTCTATAGGACTACTTTGCGAACTTTAGCAAACATCTAAACGAGATCTCTTAACAGAACTATTTACATTTTCTTCCAACAAGACAGAGGGTATATGAATCGTGAGTCACCACAGTTAAAATTGTAGGTGAACTCAAAACTGTTTCATTTCTGAAGTTTGCAAAAGCTCAGAAAAGTCAGTTCTAATTACGGTCTTAAAGTTCTCCTGCAAGTTTGAAATCAGAGCCTAATTTATCAGTGGTCAGTGACTCTAGAGTCTTTGTATCCAGCTGCCTCGAGCCCGGGATTTGGTGAGTGCTGCTGCTAGGGGACTGGAACACTCAGGACGAAAATGCTCCCCCCCCCCCAGCCACCTTCCCCACCAGGCCCTCCCAGCCATTCTGGAACCAGTGGGAGTGCGCTCAGCAGCAGACAGTCGCCAGCCAGGGGGCAGTCCCTTTACCCAAATTCATTGCAGTTCCCCTGAATGCAACAATTCAACTAAGTTCAAACAAATGGCTCTGAAGTTTCACTCTCAGCCACAGAGGCACTTTCAGTTAGCTTTCCCTAGGCAAAACCTGCTGTAGGGCAAAAGCTGCTAGCTAGCTGGGGAAGAGTCCTTTCAAAAGAGACTTTCTTACAGCCAGCAAACAGAAACTGCATGGCTTTAGCTGATAACTCTGTTCAGGCTTTTACAATCCCAGTCCTTAGGCCCAAGTGCTCTCAACTGCCTCTCACCCCAGGGGCTCAAGTTTCCTCCCACTGCTATGAGTCGGGGCTCTGAAGCAGCCCTGGCTCTGGGAGGAAACCCACCCACTATGAGCTGTGGTTTCACTCACACTATATTACCGTGGGCATCTGGCTGTTCAATTATGGGGAGCATTTGAAAGCCTTGTACCTCTTTTCCTCTGCTAGCTGCCTCCTGAATGCTGGCTTGGAGAGGAGACACAGCACTAGCAGCAAGGGTTTGCCATGTTCAGGGAGGTTTTTGTGCCAGGGCAATTATGGGCAGCTTTTTCATTCTGATAGACAACCCCCCTCAGTTGAGTCTAATTCTGCCCCTACAGAAGGAAGAGAGACTTGGGAAGGAGAGACCCAAAGAGCTTCCAGTTGTTGAGAAAGAGAAATTACTAAGTTTTTCAAGCCCTTTAGTTCCTTCCTTGTCTCATCCCAAGACTTCTGTTCCTTAAACTTGGCTTCATGGCTAAGAGAGAACTAACCCTGATTGAACAATGTTGTACAAGTGTTCTCATCTAGTGGCAGTTCCAGTGGAGTGGAGAGTTTTGTTCCCCCCATGTCCACCTCAGGGAATACTCCCCCCCCCCTGCCACTCAGGGCTCTAAGCCATCTCAAATTAATGCCCATAGGCCAAAAGCCTTCACTGGAATTTTTTTCCAGCCCATGTTCCACATAATATTTTTGCATTTCAATTCCAATTCTCCCCCAGGAGTCTGCACCTAGAGTCCCATGGTCAGAGAAACAAGGACACAGTTCCTCTACAAACTCCAAGAACCTCTGTACTTGTTGCTGTTCTACCTTTCAACAAGTGAATATTCAAACATCTGCTTACTATTTCCTACTCTAAGTTTTTTCCTACACAATGTTCCTATAACTAAGCCTTATATTTTTTCCTAATTTAATAGATAGAAATTAAGAGAGAAAGAAAGAAACCCAGGCAGAGAGAGATACTTGCTGAAGCCTAATTTTTCTATAGACAGATTTTGCTCTCAAAGAATAAAATACCACCACCTAACCTTTTCATAATTCATAACCAGACATGTCCAACTGCTTCTGTGTTACTCCTCCCCCCACTTACTTCCTCTTCACTTAAGTCCTTAGTTCTGGAACCATCTGTGGGAGGCCAGCTTCCACGTTTTAAAGGGTTCCTATGAGGAGGAGAGAGGAATAAGAAATATTTTAGATAGAAATATAGCAGAGAGGAGACAGACAGAAGCACAGGATAGCTTCAGGAGGACCTGGATCAAAATCCACTGGCTCCTTCTGTCTCTTCAAAGGGTCTTTTTCTAACAATGCCAAAGGGAGGGGCAAAAGACCTCCCCCTTGCAAGATCAAAGCACAACACACAGTCAAGTGTAGATTCTTCCAAACACCAGATAACCACACTCATGGTCAAATCATCCCCTTATGCAGCCCTGCTGGGTAAAGCAAGCTTAGATTCTTGGACCTTGAGTAAGTTCTTACTAGGAAATCTCTGTGGGTTTCTACATTATAGAAAGTTCTTATAATAAACATTTTGAAGGCTAGTAAATCTTAGGAAGGAGGAAACATTTAGTTATGGAGCTGCCACTTTTTCTTGTTTGCCTATTGCAGTTCCAATTTCAGGAAGAGATAAATTAGCCTAAATTGAGTCATTTTTCTGTTTTAATTGTGGGGAGGTAAAGTACCTAAATATTGTTCATCAGACTGTACCCAATGCTAAGGGAGCATTTCCTCACCAAAGAATGGCCACATAGTCCTTAAAAGGGAGAAAAAAAAAACAGGCATGGCTAAGAAAATCATGGCTGTTCAGCAAGTTATTGAAGTATGATGCCTACATGACCTGGGTTTCTGGAGGTCAGGAAATACACAACAATCCCCACTAAACTGCAGGGGAGCATCTCTTGTTTGTTTTTAGTCAGGCACTGAACCATCTCTCACTTTCCTTTACACAGGTAACACTGCCAAACCTTTTCAGCGTCATTGATTATTTTGTGAAGGAAACTCGAGGGAATTTGAGACCATTTATACATTCAACTGATGACAATCTTGGTATGTCCTTCACTTTACTGCTACATCAAACAAAACAAAACCCCACACATGACAAGGTACAAACTAAACTTTTAAAATTTAAAGTTCCCCACTTGGCAATCATCTTTGTCAGAGTCTGGGGCGGGGGCAGGGGAGAGAAGCATCTGCTTCCAGATAGTCTATGAGGAATGCATTGTGATTATTAACATCATTCCATCATTCTATCTGACTTTATCAAACAAGTTCAGGGACAATAGAAAAGCAAAACAATATAGGTAGCAAATAGGAAATGTAACGGGATGAGCCCACAACAGTATCAGATGCTTGAGGCTGGGTAGAATGCATGAGAGTAAGCAAAGGCTGTGGGGATTAGCCCCTTGGTATGTAGCTAGAGTTTTCCTGGTCCTGTCTGGCCCACAGTCAGGACAAATCTCTCTCACCCACCAGTCCCGCAGCCGCTCAGACCCAACCAAGTAAACACACAGAGACTTATATATTATTTACAAACTGTATGGCCATGGCAGGCTTCTTGCTAACTGTTCTTATATCTTAAATCAACCAATTTCTATTAATCTATAAGTTGCCACATGGCTTGTGGCTTACTGGTATCTTTACATGTTGCTTGTCATGGCAGCAGCTGGCAGCGTCTCCTCACTCAGCCTTCCTGTTCCCAGAATTCTCTTCTCTGCTTGTACTGCCTATACTTCCTGCCTGGCTACTGGCCAATCAGCATTTTATTTATACAGAGCGATATCCACAGCAGTAAATGGCCTTGATATAGTGCTATTCTGCTCTGAAGGTAAAGAAGTCATATGGCAAGGTCATAGGAGTGAGGAGGTGATGAGGAGCTACTGACAAAACTATAGTTGGGTCCAGCTTCAAAATTGGTGAGCTCCTTTTCCATAAACGAAGAACTTTAAAACAGTGGTAGGTAGTAGTCCATTAACCTGAGCAATGGGACCTGTGTCAACAGTATAGTTCACATGTTCATTAAACTGACTCCATTTGCATTCTAGTTTCTGCAGGCTAGCCTCGATCATCTTGCCCTGTTCTATCCAACAGTCTACATGTGGTCACTGGGAAAGCTCTAAGCAGAAGAGGTTAAGGGTCTCCAGCTAGTTTGGGTTTCATTCAGAACAGTTTCTTTTCCTATATGTTATAAAGGAAAACTACTTTGTCTACCTGCACCAGGGGCATATCTGCAAAGTCTCACTAATTGAAACAACAGCAGGTTTAAAAATCTAAGTTCTTAAAATATAACTGTTTGTCTTTGGATGCTACATCACAATACAAAAAAAAAAAAATACAAGAGCTCAGAGTCTGCAGGAGCTTTAGGAAGTGATCAAATGCAATCTTGGTCTCTGTAGGGTCCTCTGTGCACTCAGCAGAGAAAGTGTCTCTAAGATGTGGTCACACAGATTGCTTGCCAAGTTCTGTTATAGTGTTCACTGACTCTTGAAGCAGCACAGTTCACTGGGTTCTTGTTCTAAAAAATTCTTCCCTGAGTCTGAAACATTACTTCATATGAATCTAATTTCAGGCTTTGAAATACCGTTAAAATTACCACATCATTTCCTCTTAGTGTTTCTACCTGCTCTTTGACTTACTGGTTCCTGCAGCCCTCTTTCCTCTTATTTCTAACCTTCTCTGTGTGTTGTCTAGCTTCTGAAAACTTCTCATAACCCATGACCCCAAGCATAGGCATGTAACTGCACACATAGTCAACACATTACTTTGCCTGGTGTGTATGCAGGAAAACATACCTACTAGGGTTCCGTGAGAGAAAGAGTTCTTAAAATAACATCTCTCCAAACTCTTAGGATTTCTTAAAATAAAATCTGGAGTGTGTAGAAATCTGTCGTAACTCTCCTCATCCCTGGATATAATTCTATCAGTTAGTTATTCAACCCTGTATAATAAACCACCTCCACAGTGGTTAAATCAACAACTATTTTATTGGTTCATTGTTCTATGAGTCAGAAAATTGGATTGGATTCAGTTGGGCAGTTTTTCTAGCATCACTTTGTCACTCACATAGGCTCCAGCGTGATGGAAAACTGAGGCTGACCTTGTCGTCCACTCCTAGGTGCTTGTGTTACAGGATTGTACCACCACACCTGGCTTCTTGGGACTTTTCTATAGGATTCGTGGTATGACAGAGAGTTTTAACTTTAATTCATGTTTCCCAATGTGCATACACTGTATTTTTTCCTTACTGTATTGGCTGGAGTATCCAAAACCTCCTTTTTTGCTCCCAGCTTTTTGGAAAAAGTTTCCTCTTTCATTCCTAAGTATGAGAATACATTTATTCATTTTTGTCTAATCTCAGAATGAAGGAAGTTTCCTTAACAATTACTACTTATTTATTCAGATATTGTAGATAGAAATTTGTGACTTGTTTTTCTGTTATATATGTTCACATATATAGTTTTTCCTTAGTTGGTTCATATGATGAATTACACAGTTTTAAATGTTACATTAAACCTACTTGATTATTATATATTGTTTTAAGTGTTAGATTTGCTTAATATGCCAAAATTTGCTTGCTTACGAGAAATACTTTGTTTTTGTTGAGTGACTTTACTTCTAATATTTTACCATCTAAGTTTCAGTATGGTTTTCATTCCATCTTAGATTCAGGAGCTTTATGTTTAGGCTGGAGAATATAGCTCAGAGAAAGACCCTGCATGTGACCTCTAGTGCTCTCCCCCAAGTTAAAAACAAATGTAGCTGCTTTAAAGACCATGTGATAATTCCATTTGGTTGCTTTCTTATTGGCATGTTATTTTTTTCTCTGGAGAATTAGAGGACTGGCTACATTTCTCTAGCTTCTTGTGTATCAAAAAATTTCCAACTGTCATTCTTTTCTTTCTTTCTCCCTCTCTTTCTTTCTCTTGGGTTTTCAAGACAGGGTTTCTCTGTGTAACAGCCCTGGCTGTCCTTGAACTCACTTTGTAGACCCAGCTGGCCTTGAACTTAATATCTACCTGCCCCTGCCTCCTGAGTGTTGGAATTAAAGGCATGCACCACCATACCCCGATCAATTTTCTGACTTTTTACCAAGTAATTTGGGGTTCCATTTGGGCATTTTGAGTGTTATTGCCATGGGTCTTTGGGTCCTTCTCCAGCCTCTGCAGCACTTGTTTCAAGCAGGCAATCAATCTGGCTAGGGTGAAGCAGCTCTCCCAACTGCTGTGGGAATAAACTCTAAGTCTGTTACCTTTGTTTGGCTGCTTTGGGTTTGTACACCTCAAGATCTTGTCCTAGGGCAACAGTCCATACTGCAGCTTAGTTCTTAGAGCCTTTGATGCATTGCATTGTCAGCTACCATTCATCAGCTGAAGGACGTTTAGTTTGTTTCCTAGCTATAGTGATCAGAGCAACAATGACATGGCTAAGCAACTATCTGTGGAATGGGATAGCCGGTCATGTGGTAGATTTAGTTTTAGCTTTTTGAGTAATCCAAATAGACTGATTTCCAGAGTGGTGGAACTAATTTGTAATCTCACCAATAGTGAATGAGGGATTCCCCTTACCTTACAGTCCTCCCCAGCAATTACTATCAATTGTTGATCTTAGCCATCTGACTGGGAGAAGATAAAATTTCAAAGTAGTTTTAATTTGCAACTCTAATTGCTAAGGGTATTGAAAGCCCTTTGAGATAATTCTTAACCATTTTTTTTTCCTTTGGAGGACTTTCTGTTCAGACCCATGGGCCATTTTTCAATCGGGTCATTTGTCTTCTTGACTTTTAAGTTCTTTATATATTCTGCATGTTAATCCTCTCTCCGATGTATATATAGCTGGCCAAGGTTCTCTCCCACTCTGTGGGCTTCCTTTTCATGGCTGTCCTTTTGCCATACAGAAACCATTTAGTTTTATGAGGTTCCATTTGTCAGTTGTTGGCCTTATTTCCTGCGTGAATGGAATACTATTCACAAAGTCCTTTCCTGCACCTGTATCGTGTAGGGTATCAAGGTATCGTCTGTATCCTTGTAGCAGTTTCAGTGTTTCCGGTTTTACTTTGAGGTCTTCGGTCCATTTGAGTGGACTTTTGTTCAGGGTGGTAGATACATGTCTAAGTTCATTCTTGTACACGTGGGGATGCAGTTTCCCCACACCATCTATTGAAGATGCTGTCTTCTCACCCGAGTTTTTGGCATTGTTGTCAAGTATCAATCAGGTGACTCCAGTTATGCATACTCATGCTTGTGTCTTCTGTTTTGTCCCAATAGTCTACACATTTTTGTACCATTACCATGCTTGTATCAGTATAGCTCTGAAATGAAGAGCTACACAAGGTCAATGACTACCAAGAGAGGGAGAATTGGTGTCCTCCAGGGAGAAGCTTTCACATGTGTTGTCCAATCCCAAGCGTTCAGCCCTGGACATATGTACATACATACTAGCAAAGGTAAATGAACTCAGTAAGTTATATATCAGTAAATACACACATGTACATTTAACAATATTAAAGAAAAAAAATCATGAATTAGGGAGAGGCACACAAGAGTTGGACTTTCTAAAAAAAAACAAAATCAAGAACATAAAATATAAATAATTTCTTTCTCCCATGTAAAAAAAAAACTATCCAGAGCCTGGCCTCCTACTTTAACTGATACAATGCAGACTCAAAAGTATGCTTCTGCCTTTGCTGCTTACATTTAGTTGCATCTTTTATTTCAATGTTACCTAAATCTTTATAAAACTTTGGTGTCAAATAAAGATTTCTATCTGGAACAACAGAAGTTGCCTCTGGGATCTTTGGAAAGAGGAGCTCTTTGGTTAGCCTGGAATCTGTGCCATCCATAGCCAATACAACACTAGGTGGTGCTCTTTCTCTGTTCTTATCTCTAGGATGGCTCTGACTAGCCTAAGGACCACTGTTCGATCCTTCTAGGTAAAGCAAGTTGCTTGAGAGCTTAAGCAGTGCTGTCCTGGGAGCTAGGAGCTGTGTCTCTTCAAACAAGTTAAAGAAAAAAGCATGCAAAAGCAATTCCCACTCTCTCAGTTCTCTGAGACAATTTACTTGGTTTCTATGGACAGAAAGAAAGAAGAAAAACAGACAATAGAAAAAAAAATAACTGAAAATGGGCTGCTGACTTAAACAGACAACCAGATTATTATCGCTATGTGACTGAACTGGTTTGTTTTGCTTTGTGACCAAGAGTATTACTCAACAGCCTTGCGCCTGACTCCTTTATTATTGGGGTTCTTGACTGGCAGGGAGAACAAGAGGCCCAGGGAGCCTTTTCAAACCAGAAAAGCTTCTGCAGAGCAGGATATTTTTACTTTCAAAAGCAGAAAGAGAAGGAAAACAGGACTTCCCGAGAAAAGCCATGGCCAAATCCCTAAATGCTGCATTTTAAGAAAACTTTGTGGAACTTGGTGATTATTTCTAGGACATCAACTTGCTTATTGGGGCACAGTGTGAATGCTAGAACACTTAGTTTTAATTTGCCTTGAGCTAGAAATTGGAGTTGTAGAGTACTTAATGGTTCAGAGATCTGGAAATGTGGAACTGGTCAATGTGTTTACTAATGAAAAGAACCCAGAATTTTCTTTGACCATTGTTAACCTGTGTTAGTGCCCAGCTTTCTCTGTAACACCAAGAGGCAAGAGCAGCAATAGAAATATAATAGTCAAGTGATATTCTCTCAATTTATTTTTCCCAATGTCAGAAATTAACAGTTTAAAAGTCATTTCAAAATATAGCACAGAAGGTATACAGAACATTAAGTAAAGCATAAGAAAATACATGACATTTTAGGTCCAGGATATAAAAATATTAAAAGAAATCTGGATATTCCACATCTAATTACATAAAAATTATTAACATACCACCAGTGTTCGGGGAACAGGCAAGAAATCAACTCCTGCTGAGAGTGGAGAAGAACTTGGTCTCATAGCATCACTTCAGAAACTAATCAAGACTTTCCACCCATAATTTCCAGATCAAGAGCCCAACATAGAAGAAAGAAGTGAGAAGCTTAAGAAAAATCCACACAAGGCATGAAATAACGTGGAAACTGCCTCCTTGATATTTATTGTTTTCAAAAGGAAGATTTTTCTCTTCTAAAAACCATTATCTCTATTTCCTTGACCCTAGTCACTTGTTTGGGCACAAGAATAAAACGATGCACCATATAATTTCATTGTTTGATCAGTAGGAGACCAATTTACTGGTTACCACCAGCTGTCTGTAGAGTAACTTGATTCATGCATTTCTCTATATTAAGTGGCAAAAATTTGTTTTATAAAGCCAGGTTTTTGTTCCTCCTTGGCTTCAATGAAATACATTTCACATATACAATTTGCAATGCAGATTATCTAGTTCCCCTAAATCCTACTTATTTTCTAAACCTTAACTAGGTTTTTGGTAAAATCTGATTGGACCAGTTAATCAATTATAAGTTATTTAATTGATCTAGTTGGCGGTCACAGACATGAAATGAGCTAGAAAATGCCCATCTGGTAGAAATACCCTATGGTCGCATATTATGTTCATGGAATTAATGCAACTCTTTTTTATGTTCTTCCTTGCCGATATCTTTCTACTAGTTCAAAACTCACCCATAGCTCATTACAGGATGACAAAATAAACACCACTGTTGCAAATTTAATACTATGATTACTGTGATTCATTTCTTTAAAAATACAGAACCTTCATCCAGACTAGGTATCATACTACTTTTTTTTTTTTTTGAGACAATTTCTCTGTGTGGCCTTGGTTGTCCTGGAACTTGCTCCGTAGACCAGGCTAGCCTCAAACTCACAGACTTTATGGTCAAAAAATTCAAGAATAATGTAATTCAGAATGAAATGGTATGGTTTCTAGCTTATTCGTGGTTCAAATTATTTGGGTATTTAGTTTGTTTTTCTCACCTTAAAAAACAAAAACGCAAGCAGGCTAGAATGGATTAAGATTCTCTTAGTTCCAAAATATTATAAAGATGTTAAGGAGAAATTAGGACACAGAGCAAAGACTGTATGAGACCCAGGGTGAAGATGGACATTTATGTTGGCAAAAAGGATCCCTTGGGGGAAAACAGAGCAATCAGACATTTAAAGACTTCCAGCCTCAACACTATGAGAAAATATTTTTTTGTGCCTTAAGCCGTGTATTTGTTATGGAACTCCGGTAAACTAATTAAATGAGCGATCTTCTAAGTCTCCCTTCCAGAATTTCTGAGGTTTGCCTTTTTAGTATATGCCACAGGTAATTACTACACACAATAAAGTTTGAGATTATCTTAAATTTCTGTGTAGGAATATATGCAAAATCAAGTAAAGCTATCTTTTAAATGGAGAGTTAGTGTTAATGGGAATTCTTAGATCTGGGACATAAAGTGAGTAATATTTATAGAAATCTGATAAGGAACACATAGCTCATGCACCAAATGAGGCTAAGAGACTGATAGCTTTAACTTAACATCTGAAACTGTTAAGTCAATTATTCCTCTAAGAAAATACAGTGCTTAAAATTGAAAAACTATACTTTAAAAAAAGATTTATTTTAATGTGCATTGGTGTTTTGTCTGCATGTATGTCTGTGTGAGGGTGCCAGGTCCTCTAGAACTGGAGTCATAGACAGTTGTGAGCTGCCATATAGGTGCTGGGAATTGAACTTGGGTTCTCTGGAAGAGCAGCCCACGCTCTTAACTGCTGAGCCATCTCTCCAGCCCAGAACAAATACTTTTAATGTGCTGATATGAAAAAGATCAAAGAATGTTATATAGGTATATAAAAACACAAGCATTGACTATTATAGAATTCAGACACTAAACAGAACTAAATACAACAGAACTAAAATATGTAAAAGAAATGTGTGATAAAATATAAGTTGGATAAACAAAGTTGATCCCTGTATGATAAAGAACTCTAAAACTCACCACTGTATGTTCATGCATTTGGCAGATAAAGGAAAGAATGACTAGTCCAGGGTCGGTGAATTCTAGGCCTAGAATCATTTTAAAAGCTTGTTTACTCACATGACAGATACCTGAGGCTGTTGATAGCCTCATTGTTTACGTGGGCTACTCTGGTTTTCTTTACAAACTGGATTCTGAGAGTATGTTTCACAAGGGAAACAATATGCAACAGAATGAGAGCAACCCAGGAAGGGTGCTTTGCCCCAACCATGGTAGTCTTAAACAGGGCTGGGAGAGGCAACCTTCTACATGAGTATTTGCTTCTGGAAATATTGCTGTTTGGGGAATATACAGTCTGCCAAAAGGTAATGATTAAGGTTAGTTTTATTTTGTGCAAATATACAGAATTTAATATAGTAAAAAACACTAGTCAAGACAAAACAAGGCATACCTTTAAGAAGACAGAAACCATGATTTATTTTAATAAAGAATTTAACATAAAAATCAGTAAACACATTTTGGGAGAAATGGAAATGTCCACATAAAACACTACTATAAGGAAGGTGCGAGCATTATAGAGCTGGGGAAGAGATGCTCTGTGGGAGGGCAGAGGAAAAACTACAGCCTGCCACACAGTCACAGCTGCTGGAAGAGCAGTTGTCAGGGCAAGATCAGTCAATGCCTCCTGACCACCAAATCCTAGCAACTGTAGTATATACTAGGCAAACATCTAAAATTTAGAACACATAAAGGTTCAAAGTAGGTGGACAGAAGAAATTATTCCATGAGATTACTGACCAAAAAGAAACTGGAGATGGCCAAAGATAAAAGACTTTAAGGCACAAAGAGATAATTCACATTGATAAAATACAATTGAGCAGGAAAATACAACAAACTAGATTTACAGCCTCAGTCACTGTTCTATTGCTGTGAAGACACACCATGATCAAAGCAACTTTTATGAAAGGAAGCATTTTATTGGGGGCTTGCTTACAGTTTCAGAAGTTTAGTCTGTTATCATCAGGTGAGAAGAATGGGGGCAGGCACGGCACTGGATAAGTAGTTAAGAGTTTACATTCTGATCTGAAGGTACACACACACACACACACACACACACACACACACACACACACACACACACAGGGAAACTTCAACGCCCACCCCTAGTGCCACACTTCCTCCAACATGGCCAATCCTTCTAATCCTTTCAAATAGTTCCACTCCCTGGTGAGTAAGCATTCAAAAAATGGCCTGTGGGTGCCATTCTTACTTAAACCACCACATATGAATTTACTAATATTGCCTTAAGACATATAAAACAGAAACACACCCTGGGAGAAAAAAAACAAGTAAATAGGTGATTTTTAATATAACTCTTTTGGTAATTCACATTATAGTTTATTAAAAACACATGATATAGAAAATTTAATAATATTAAAAGATTTGATATCATTGACATGTACAGCACATAGCCCCTAATGACTACAGAATGTATCAGTTCCAAATTGATAAAAACTATCATATTCTGGGCCACCAAGTGAGTCTCTAATGAATTTACAGATTAAAAAGAAATCTTTTAAATTTTCATTAGTTTTTTTAATGTTAAAAGAGTGAAAATTTATTTTGCTCATGGGTATGGATATTGGAAGCCTAAATGTACAGGACTGAAAATTGTGTAGGACCCCTTCCTGGGTCTCAACCTGGCTGGGAAAATCATTTCAAGTCAGGTTCATTTCCACCTTTGAAACCACTGGTGTTATGTCTGATCTCCTCTAACCTAATCACCTTTCTAAGTCTCACCTAAAAATAACAATAGCAAGACTATGTTCCAAACATGCCTGCTCTTTAGGGACCCACTGAAATAACACCAAAAAGTTGTGAGACAAATGTGGGTTAGGTTGCAATGATCTTGGCTCATTAGAATTTTTTTTTATGAGTTTTTAAATCATCAGTACTTTCCAAACATATGGGTCTTTTAATAATCTTTATATTCTGAGTTTTAGTTTAGCTGGACCTTGGTTAAGAAAAAAATGACCTAATTTTTAGGGCCAGTCAAGAGGTGAGGACCCTGGTAACTTCAAATCACATTTGGAAATTTGAAGAGATGAACTTTAAGGGTAAGGGCAGACAATAAGAGAATAGGAGAATAGTAGTCTGAAATTCTACTTTGAATCACATTAGAAGGGCTAGAAAATCTGAGTGGCTGAAATTCCATCAAAGTGATTTTAGGTTACTAGTCCCCAGGCAGAAGCAAAAACAAGTCTCTGAAGAATGAAAACATTTATTCTATTAAATAATTTATGCATGATTTCAAGTAAAATACTGGCAAGTATTAAAAGGATACTGGATACAAAAAAGAACAGAAGAAATGCATCAGATAACAGACTCAGAGGAAGGCATTAGATTCTGAAATTAGGCAGACTATGCTGTTTGGTTAGAGATGGTTCAGTGGGTAAGGGTACTTGCTGCTCTTGAGAGGAACAGGGTCTGGTCCATAGCATCCATTCTTGGGCAACTCACAAATGCCTGTAACTCCAGATCTAGGGGCTCTGATGCCTTCTGGCCTCTACAGGCACCTGCATACACATGGTATGCATATCATATACCGATGATATGCACAAACACAGAAAGGTGTGCACCATGTGTAGAAACACACACCACACATAAATGAGAAATTAAGATTCTTTTGGCAAGAAAAGTGAAAACTGCCGGAGTGACCAGTTTGCAAGTTTACAAAGAAATCTGAGAATGGAAAATAGAAGGGCTAAGAATAGCCAAGACATATTAACAGAAAAAAAAAACTAAGTTTGAAGGATGAATTTTGTCAAACATAAAAATATTATCAGCTACAGTGATGGAGACAGTAATTACCATTAGGGCAGAAAAGGAAAGGAACAAAAGGCTCATTAGGAGACACACACCTTTTCTAATGCTACCTTGGCAGAACCAGGGAAGAAAGGAAAACACTTTACCTAAGTACCACTGGTATAGTACTAGCCATCATGTTCAAAATTAACTCCCTATGACTTACAACTCAAGCCTGAAAGGCAAAACTAAAGTGCTGAGAAGACAACAGGGGGATCTCAGAAGATGCCCCAGGCTGGCAACGAGGTTTAATTACGAAACAAAAGATTGGTCCTACTAGGTATCTCACGTTTAGCTACAGAACAGAAGATATTTAAAACGATATAGACAATAAAGACCATGATTTATAAAGATCTTTCACGTACCAAGTGAGGAAAAGCATTGCCAACACAAAAGGAAGATATGTAACAGATGTGACAACACACTTTTCAAAAAAGAAAGTGGAAATGGCTATGTGAAAAAGGTGCCTATTCCCTCCCCACCCCTGGCAATAAGTGAGGAAACGGTCAATGAAATACAACTGCATATCCACCACGCTGTCAAAATACAAAACAAAAACCATCCAAACTGACCTCCATGTGGAGAAAATGGGCGTCAGAGCAAGGGGATGGTGCATGGGAAGGGTTGGAAGGAGGAAATGGAAGGGGGAAATGATGTAATTATATTTTAATATTTTAATTTCAAAACTAAAATATTAAAAAATATCTACAACCAGGCAATTTTGATCCTACACATCTTCCACCATTTGCAACTGAGGAGAAACAAAATAACATTTATTACAGAACTGTAATTACCCTGAACTAAATACATCTTTATCATTCACAGTCAGTACAACGTAAAGTGGTATATTAATGCAAAGGTAAACTATTACAGCAATGGTAAATAAAATATGGCTACAACATGGATGAACCACAGTGAATGAAAGACATAAATGAATGCAGAATGATTCTTTACATACAGTTCCAAAGCAGGCAGAACTAAACTGTTGTTTAGATTTACACACAGAGGGGGTAACACCACAAGAACAAGGTAACAGTACAAAAATAAAAAATAAAAGACAGACATAATTACCAGGGGTTTAAGATATCTGTGACTGGGGAGGGATTAGGAAGGTTTCTGATATCAATGATGTATTTATTAACTTCAACACTGGTTAGATAAGCAAACATTTTAAAACTATTCCTTAAACTGTATATTCACATTTTATATACTTTCAGCATGCATGTCTCAATTCAAACAGGAAGCTTCTGGGGCTGGAGCGATGGCTCAGTGGTTAAAATAACTGGCTGCCCTTCCAGAGAACCTGGCCGGTCATAACTGTCTGTAACTCGTCTCGGGGGATCCGACGCCCTCTTCTGGCTTCAAGAGCACTGCACACATGTGGTGCATAGACATACATAATCCACACCCACAAAACAGACAGACACGCTTTCCAGGTACAGCAAGAGAAAAGCAAACACAAATTGCCTGCTGACGCTTCATCTGACTCCCTAGAGCCAACCTTTCTGATTTCTGGTTTTGAGCTGGGACTCAAACCCAGAGTCTCGTGTTTGCTAGCGAGTACTCTACTGTAGAGTTACATACAGCCCCAACTATGGCTCTATTTTTGCACTCTGACACTGTCCTAACAATGTGTGTGCCATGAAAGATAAACTATAAAAATAATATAGTTTTTAATCAAGTTTTACTTCTGGAACAATGTGTAAGGAACTTAAGACACATAATACAACTGATTCAGATTCTATAAGGAATTGACTTTTGAAACCCCAAACTAGGTTTTTCATGGAGTGACTATTTCTGCCTGTTTTTCTCATATCTTTTTGCTCTTGGGGATTAAAGTTAGGGCTCAGAGCTTATTAAGCACACTCTGTCCCTTTGACTATATGCCAAAACTAGTCTGCTTGCAAAGCATAGAAATCAGGAAACACGGACATGGTACTAACCACAGAGTAAGAGGTATAATTAAATTCTCTGCAATGAACCACAGAACATAGTTTATGACAATATTCTAAAATTTCTTGGACTGATTTTTAGGATGGATGGATATATGTATATATGTATCACTGAATGGAGTAACACCAAATTGCTTTTCTTTCTCTTTTTAGCTATATTTTAGTAACAATAATCTTAAGGTACAAAATAAAACAATGGAAAAAGTTGTCATTAACTTCATTGTGGCTTTCTAGCTTAGTAATATTTAGGACGATAGTAATAATCATCACCTACAGAAAAACAAAATGAAAAAACAAATGGCAAAATGATTGTAAATTTAATTGTAAAAGAAGCCTAATCCCAGTTGATTTTATTTACTGATGCACTCTACAAAGCACGGTTCTCATTTACTTCCAAAGAGATGCAGAGACTTAGGTAAACAAACCCAAGCTATTGGTTCATTTTTGAGGATTGCTGGTTACCTAGAAAACACATTACTACCAAAGAACAGAAGACAAAGTAAAAACTGGGAAAGGTGGCTTTTTTTTTTTTAAACAAAACTTTTATTATTTCTACCCTCATTAAGTTCTAAGCCATAGAGCCTTTGATGTTCCTGTATTCAATTTATGTAACATTAATTTTGAACATTATACTAGGAATAGGCAAAATGGAAAAGGGTAGGATATGACAAAAACAATAGTTTATTTCTTTAAAATGGATCCTGCCACTTTTCTCCATCTCTCAATGAACAGAATATTGTATTACAGAAACTCACCCATTTCCCAACTGGATACTTCATAAGAGGAGGAAACCAAAAGCTGATCAACATAGATTTAAATTATTTGTTAATGGAAAGTACAGAAAATAAAGAGATACCGCTGGAGTAATACTGATGTAATCTAAATTTTAATTCATCAAAGTAGCTACTAATGGTCTGAACAAGAGTATGAGCCCCAGGCAGGCGACTTTCAGAGGCTGTAAGCACTCGCTGTTTAGAGTGCATAATAATCCTGTAAAAGAGTCACGTGCTGTTTTCACTGATTTTACAGCCAATACTATTTGTACCTTTTAATGGACCCAATTATATCATTAATTGCAACTGTTCATATCAGGAAACAGGGTATTTCTCTCAATAAAGAAAAACTTAAAAAAATATAATTTTTCTATCTCTGTCAATTCCCATTTTGGGAATGAAGAGTAAAATGACAAGCTTCCTTTAAAAAAAAAAATATTGCTTTTTTTTTCTCTATTACATTGTTGGAAGGAAAAAAAAGACAATTCTACAAGTATTAATTTTAAATTTTCATCTATTTCTAAGGATATTCCTTTTATAAAACATTTCAGTCTTATATACTATGACTAGTTTAGAGTTCCAGATAAATAAAATAAAGGCATATTAACAATCAAATGATTAGCCACATTTACTTGCTCACATTCATGGATTTTCTGAGAGTCGTCAGAGTGCATATAATACTGTTAACATTTAGTCCAAGTTAACATGTCATCACCTCATGGTTTACAACACTGATCATATCGCGAAACTCTTGATTTAGGGGAGGAAGTAATATAACAAACTCTGTTAGCAGAGCTAACAGGACACTAACTGTAGCTACCCAATTTTAAATCTCTACTCTTCATCTACCACTACCATCCCTCTGTCTCTCAGTGCTATGAAAATTTCAAAGCTTAATTATGTCAGAGGTACAGCATCACACTATTTATACTGAAATACAGGTCTCAAATACCAAATAAAAAAGAAAACCTTAAAACAGGATTTAGCTTTTTGAATAGCCAGGATTCACTATTTTCTATTTCTTCATCTTTATTTCTTCTGGTCATAAATAAATTCTTTCTTTGTTCCTTCTTTTCATCCACAGGGCTTAATATACAAACTTGTAAGCATTAGAAAATGGTATTCCAGTTCAAAGTTGCTGTGATCATAGCTGTATGAAGCAACAGATGTGTACTATGCTCCAAAATGTTTTCTAATTATTCAGTGTAGTTGAGTTTCCTACTGATGTTTCCCTTAAATTAAGGCAAAAAGAAATCCACAGTATTATGAGCTGGTTAATTTAGCTTCTGAATTAAGTACACTTTCCAAAATAAAGTAGTCCTGGAGTAACTCTATGGCAACTATTCATCAGTGTCTTGACTGAAGTAGTATCGTACTGGAGGTCCTGGCAAATCTTCATCTCCATCAGTGTCTGGGGCAAATGACACAGTAAGATCCACATATTTCTTCTCAGTCGAAGGTTTCACAAGTTTGTGCATTCTAAGAAAAATAAGCAAGGGTAAATACTTTGGTAATTGGGTAAAATGAAAGACTTTGCTAATTAGTACTATTCAGAGACTATGGACTTGTATTTTATACTTTAAAATATAATAATAATCTGCCTATACTCTATTAATTTTTCCTTACTACTCCAAATTGAAAATACTTACCTAATACGATCCTTGCTGTAATGATAAAAAGGAAAGAAAAAATCCCAAAGAATAATGCAGTGATTCTGAAAAACTAACTTTCTTCCTACATTTCTTAAAGTTTAGAGACATCAGGGATCCCCTAGCATTCTTTTAAAGAAAAAAAAGTAAGCCTCATTAAAATCTTAAAATACAAGCTGCCCCTAATCTATCCTTTCTTTTATTACTTGGTTGTCAGAATTCTCCTAAAATGTAAGTTAAAGACCTACTTCATGCCAGGCTCTGAATTATGTTACTAATGTTACTATTTAATCCCCCACATAGCTCTTTCCATTTGAGAAGGGATACTTTGTCCTATACATAACTCTTCATCCTTTCTACTACTCATATCCATATCATCTGAGTTTCCAGAGATCATCAAGTGTACTTTTTATTTTTCAAGCTAAATGTGTATGCACAAGCTGTTTGCTTTTGCATATAATAATCCTCCCTCAAATCTTCAAATGAAATCCAACCCCAAATTGAGGTCTGAGTTAGGAAAGTCCATGGTGCAATGTCAACATCTCCATTATAATGATTTTAGTTACATTTTAATTAATAATCAATGTACCAGTTTCTCTAAGTAGACTGTATTCGACATCAGGGCTATTTGTATAATAACAAAATAGTAACAAAACTAGCAATTCTGGAATACTATTCCTGTACCATTACATTTTTAGGATTTACTATTACTTTAACACTCAACAGCTATGGGAACAAACACGGAAGAGAATCTATGTTTCAAAGTTATTCAAGGACACAAAACAAGTATTAATAAGTAACCACTCAAGCATGTGAACATGTCTTTATAAAGTCAAGCTCATGCTCTAAGGCAGGCTCTCATTGATTGACCTAGAGTGTCCAGCCACTTAAATAATAAATAAATACCTGCTAAATTAAAAACGTAGAATGTAAGACATATCACTCATAAAGCATCTCATGCTGCAGGGATCACACACTGACCAACTCTCAAAACACATTCTTTTTTGCAGCAAATCTTAAATTACACTAATTCATGATCATGCATTTCACTGACATCTAGGTGGCACACATTACAAGAACTCTAAATACAGCCCTCAAGTTCTCTCAATACCATTCCTGAGTCCTAACAAAAGCAACTGCAAAACAAAATTAATGCTGACCTAATATAACCATTTTTATAGTAAAGCTAATTAAGATAATTATAATGTACAAGTGATTAACTTCAACTGATAATCCAAAGTTGATGGTCATGTTAAAGAACACCATCACATATAGAGATCCACTTATTCAAACAAGTTCTTACAGATGGCTATTTTGTGCCAGGTACTGGTCTAACTGCTTGAGATACAGCAATCAAGAGATCAAATAAAGACTTATACCCTGGGAAACTTAACATTCTAGTGTGAGGGAAGGGGATAATGACAGAAATAACAATACAGGCAAAATGTGTTGTAGCTATGACATAACAGTAAGTGTTATGACAAGGAGAAAAAAGAGAGGATGAGGAAGACAATGTTTGCTGGGCAAGCATGAAGATCTGAGTTTGGTCCCTAGAAGCCAAACAAAAAAGCTAAAAGTGGCAGCATTCGTAGTCTCAGTACTGGGGAAGTGGGGACTGGGTTTACGGGACCGCTGGCCAGCCAGCTTATCCAAGCCAGCAAGCTCTAGGTTAAGTGGGAGACTCTGCCCCCAACACTGACATTAAGCTCTGATCTTTACACACACTCATATATGCACCCACACACACCAGACCACACACCTTCATTTGCACACACAGACACACATGTACATGAAGCAAGTTGGTTTTCTGAAAAGATAAACACAGTTGGCATACTCTTAGTTAAACTAACTAAAAGAAAGGGAGATCCTCCTGCTGAAGACACCAACTTCTTTGGCTGAAGGATGGAGAGAAATGAAACTGAGCTGGAAGGATCCACTTTGCTGGCTAGACTGTACAGTGCGGGAAGGTGGTATGCAGACTACTGGGGTTTAGCTGTGAAAACTGTGCTATAATACCAACTTGCCAGGCAAGATGTGCCCAGTGCCCAATGGTACAAGAGTGGCATGTCTGTTGCGGGGACAGCCAACTGTATTCTGACGGATTTCAGGCCCCACTACACAGGAATAATTCTGCTTTGAGCTTTAAACCTGGTTCAAAGTTCAAGGCTAGGGAGGTTGTAGGCCCTGGATGCATCTGCTTCTGTGTGAAACAGGACTTACTACTGTTGCTTCGATATGTGGACAAAGTGTTAAACCACCTCCTAAGTATTTATTTCTACTCACAGACAGTTCTGCTTTCAGTTTGGTCAGAGAAGCTTCTATCTGCAGTGAGCGACAGCGGGGAAACCCCATGTGCTGAGAAGGACTGAGCAGGCAGCCCTACTGGGACCCTGCATAGCCCTCTTTCAAAGCTCAGGAACTATGCAGAAGAGGGGTGGAAAGAATACGAGAGGATGGGAAAGAACGCTGTTATCTCCTGGACATGGCTGTTGTACCCACAAAAGCATAGTAACAGTGGCTGCACAAAACTGGCCCATCAATGTTCCACAATTAATGAGGAAGGACTCCTGAGGTTACTGGAGAAAAGGGAGTCATATTCCTCAGTGGGGCAGCCACTGCTTAGTTTCTCAAAGCTCACAATAACTAAGCCCCATATATGCTAATGCAAGTACTGTAATTAAAAGGGAGTGGGGGCAATGAGGTGGCTCAGTGGGTGAAGGAGTCATAATACTATGCAACACTGACAATTCCCAGAACCCATTAAAAAGGTGGAAAGGAAAACATTCTACAAAGTTGTTCTCCAGCCCTGACATGAGTGCTCGCATGTGTGGGTATGTATACAGTTAAAAATAAAAGGATCTGGGGGAAAAAGGATAACAAAATAGGAGGGGGGAATGTTAGGAAAAGAATGGGTTTAATGGCAGGAAGAATGGGGATAAGAGGATAACGGATAATGGGAGGAATATGCTCAAAGTCTATTACACATTATGGACTTTTGAAAGAATAAATAAATATATATATTCTTTTTTTAAAAAAAAGGGAGAGCAAAACAGGGCAAGCATACCGAGCTATAGCTATAGAATTCAGAAAGTGTTGTGGAATATTATT